AGTCTGTGTCAAAAATGAAAGTGACAGAAATAACAATAGTGAAAATCTGTGAACACCTTCATCATTACCGATTGGGTATAAAACGCAAAACACAAATGTCATCAATGGACGCATAGGTGTCATTTTTTTTTTTTAAATCTGCCATTCCTGAGGTGCGTGAGGCTGTCATGAGTAAGCTAAACAGCGCCACCTACAGTGCATGCATGGAGGTCATACCTGTGTGAAGACTAAAAACCTTTGAGCAGCAGCAACTAAATTTGTTCAAGTTTGGAAAATGAACACTTTACAAAGTAATTATGTTGAGATTGCAGATATTTCAGGAAACCAGAATTGTTCCTTTAGCAGTCTAGATGACTCTTGATCTTTTGAAGGACATTCCAAATATTTTAGGGAAATACATGACTAATAATCAATAGAGAGTAAATATTTGGCTGGCGCTAGTTTGCAGGAGGCTTTGTGTGATTGGCTGAAATATAATCAAGGCAAACAAGACAGCTCCATTTTTTTACCGTCTCCATCAGCATCAAGGCTGTCAGCGCTGTCGCTCTCCTCCGCCGTGTCACTCAGCCCTGTAGTCAACCCTCGCCTCTTCCGTTCCTTCAGGGTGTGGCGCAGCTCCTGTTCAAAGTTCTTGGGCTTCGCTTGGGGATCGTCCGGATCACCTGGGTCCAAAAAAGTTGAGATTATCTTTTGGGAGTGCCTTTAGTTCGATATCATATGAAAAAAAAAATACAAAAAGTTAAACCTAGAATGCTGTGATGTTCAACCGTGGAGGAATGGTCAACTACTCAACTTTATCCCATCAAGTAAACATTGAAGAATAAAAAAAAATAGTCAAAAAATACCTTTAATTTTAATGGGCATCGTTTCCAGTTGATCCTTGTTGGTCTTGCATCTGTATCATCACACACTTGATGACGCTGCCTATGGGTCAGTATACCATCTCCAGTTACTGCCCTTCAGCAATGCTTAATCTACCTGCGGACAGCCAATAACAAAAAAGGATCTGCTCAAATGTCTGTCATGTCCGTTGCTTTTAAGTGTTAGACTAAAACCAGTATATGGGGTGCTAGAACTCCTTTATTAAAATTCGTCTTTGGCCGGTGGTACTAGCTAGTACTGACCAAAGACACAATTTTTTTAAAGGAGTTTTAGTGCCCCAATTACCATGGTTACTGGATCTACTGTTAAGTGTTAGACCATCATTAACGCAATATATACATTGTCCTCCAGAAATTTGTTCAAATTTCACAATTTTTGAAATCTTGATTGCTATCTGGCTTTTATACATTGAAAAAAGGCATAAATAAAGACGAACATTTGAAGAAAGTGTGAATTTTACACACTAAAATAAAATTTAATCAATCATACTTTTTTATAACGTTATTAAACAGTCAGTTTGCAATGCCAATGAAAATTGTGTGTACACCTAATTTAGTGCTACAATAAACGTGGCTAACATAGCGACGCTCTGTTCATATCCCTGAAATTTTCAAAATTTCTAACGTTCGTGTTGAGCCCTCCCATTTTTCCCCTCGAATTTCTTTGGAATGACAGATCCTTTGCCACTTGAAATGCTTGGATAAACTCTTAAATTTTATGCAAGTACAGCTGAACATACAGTGCTCGTTAAATTTTGGGTCTGTAATGTAAGCACTAAGTGGGGTCACTGAAGTGAAAGGTCTCCAAACGGGATTTCGAACACCTCGGAAGTCCAGAGTCACTCCAGGACCTAGCTGGAGTTACCCAGCCCTGAGTTTTATCATTGGGTTGTCTATAAGACAACCCAATGATAAAACTCAGGGCTGGGTAACTCCAGCTATCCAGGACCAGGGAAATAATATGAGCGGAGCGTGGCTATGTCTATTTCAGGGACAAAAATACCTTCAAAAATCTGAATAAGATTTTAAATATTTCTTAATCCTATGACTTTCTGCACAAAATCACATCAAAAAAAAAATTGTGTCGAAACTTTTATTCCAAAAAAAAATTACGAGCATCTCTATGCACACACACAAGCAGGGCGCCCTCACCTTTTTAATGTGTTGCCTTAAAAATATTTGGATCCAAATTAATTAAAACCCGCAAATACCACATCACACATGAGTAAAGAAAACGTAACACAAAGCTTAATGTATCATGTTCGCTAAAAAAATAATCTGCACTGGAAGAACTAGGAAGGTATCTGCTCCTCCTTGCTACACGTCACGTACAGCGGCGTTGATCGGAGAATTTGCTGGAGTCGATCAGTCGTTTACAAAAAATTTGTGTACGCTAGTAACCAACACGTTCACATTACCTTCTATACTATTGGTCCTTTGGTGCCTCACAGAACGATATGTTTGTCTCAATTTTTAATATATCGTACAAACTAGGTCACTTTTTACTTTCTTAAAACTAAAATTGAAGAAAAAGAAAAGTAATTTTTATACAAAATGTCTGTTTAAGAATATAAACTGCGTAAAAATCTAAATGCATGGGAAAATATAAATAGCCAATCAGCTTTCGCGTTATATCTCGCTCATTTCATTGAGCTCAAAATTTAAATAACTGGTGGAGCTAGCCGAAAAAACGGATGTCAACAAACAACACGTGCTGTACCGGGAAATTGCTTGTCTAGACGGACATTTTACCGGAAATACGCTTTCATGTCATTGGAGAATTTCCCTTAACCACTTGCAGTTGAAGAGTGGACAACACAGATTCGGAATAGATTTGGTTTTCGATGGAAATTTTGAGGAAAAGAACTCACATTCATTGTGAATGCCAGAACAATGTAGGCAGCGGAGTTATGCACAAACGCATGCCCGCGCCTGAACACATGCAGTTCCACGATGTTGGCTTGATGAGCATGATGAGCGCTCCAGACGATAACATCTTTGGACGTGTGCGTGTATTTTTTGGGGCTTTTTATACGTAATTTTATTAAATGTAATATGCCATGAATGTACCTTATGTAACAGTATGTGTAATGGTAAGTTAGTAATATAAGGTGTTTCACAGTAATAATAATTAATATCCTATGCCCCATCTTGCCAACACAGGGTACGCATCGTCAGTGGTAAACTTTGGCGTTTCCAAATCATCATGCGGTCATTCCAAAAAGCACCCGCGTCTTGCAACGTGTGTTCTTTTTGCATCATGAACAAGATGGCGCATATTACCGTGAAACACCTTATTAAGTAACAGACTAGACCTACCGGTAGTATCATTTATAGTGTATAAAATAACATTGCAATCATGCTTAGCTAGCTTGGAATACCCAGCGTGGCGCTATGTTCATGACATTAGTGAATCTCCCATGTCGTGAACCTTGCGCTGGGTAAGCTAAATTATGCCATTTATTAAAGGTTTGTTGTTTTGTGTATATCTAAAACATATAGTTGTAGAAATTGTTGCACACACGTTTTAATAAAACTGTAAAAGTGAATAGCAGTTCTTAACTCTAAAGAAAGGTTGGAAAGATTGTAGTATCCAGAAGCTTTGGTTGTGTACAAAGTCTATGGAGAGTTGAGTGCATTTTCAAAGTATTTTCTAACAAAATTAGAAATATCTTTTCATGTCTTTTCAACTTTTGTTCTGCAATGACTGACCTTCATTGAGATAATATATGATGAAAAAAAGTGGAGTCAGGATGCATTAAATTGTATTAATTGTATGGTGGGCATTTAATTTGTATTACAAAAATTAATTCAATTTATATTTTACATTGCCTTCATTTTGTTCACAGCAACAAAAACGCAAGTGCAATGGAGTGTCCAGTTATATACCGCAAGCGGACCATGCAAAGGAACGTATAGGCATGCTGGACACGTGTCTACCCCCTTCAGGTTTGGCAGCATCTGTGGGAAACGAGACTGTTGCCATGGTTACAGACTCCGATGCCGCGTCTTACCATTCACACAACATTCCTGCCCAGTCTATGCACCACGCTCGTCACATTATGACCAGTGCTGGAGATGCCACAAATTCTTCTGTATCACTGCAGGCCCAGGTACATCTGTGTTTATAAATTCTTCTTTTTTTCTTTTCAAATACATGTATCACAAAGGGAAGCTGACCAGGTGCATTATAATAAGCTTAACAGAGAAATTGACTGGAATTGGGTTTGAACTAAACCGAAAATTTGGGACTCTCAATACTGTGTACAAGAGTCCATGAAAACATGCAATACAAGAAAATAGACTGCAACCGGTCCAACAACTCTTTACAGTACTGCATCAATTAACTGTCGGCTGGCTTTGCCAAAAGAAATATCTAGGATGTCGGGTACTACATTGTAGGTCACTATTTCTACACATTTCTCCCTAGTCAGACTAGTGACAATGAATGAAGAAGTCAGTCTTGTCAAACAGTTGGACCATGGATGGACATGTAGAAGTCTAGTCTTTAGCCTCATTTTGAAATCACTTGACTTCCCTCTCTTGTGCAAGCCACTGCCAAATATTGAAGAAAAGTCTCCTTTAAAAATTCAATTGAGTCTTCAAACTTGGTTGGTGAAATACTAAGGAACTTTTCTTTTACCCAGTAAAGAGTTTTGGAGAAATTTGCTGGTGAAAGAGTGAGTAAAGTTGGCCTGATCTTCTTTTGCATCATTTTGAGCACTTACGGTCCCAGTCTGGGTTTGAACCTGTGACCACCAGATAACCGTTCCGGTGCTCTACCAACTGAGCTATCCATCCCTATGTTGGCGGTTTCCCATTTTGTCAATGTTTTTGTTCGAAGGGTGCTTGTCAGAAGCTGTATGCCTATACCGCTGGATGGCTGATTTGGTGCTGGGTGGCTCAGTTAGGGCTGGATGGCTCAGTTGGTAGAGCACCGGAACGGTAAACCGGAGGTTGCAGGTTCAAACTCTGCTCCAGTCAATTTCTTTATTCAACTTTTAAAAAATGTTGTTTGTTAGAAATTACTAGTGCAGCAAGTGGCAAATTCACTCACTCAGTGCAATGTACTATACAAGTTAATTGGCTGGCACTTGTTGTTGCATGTATCTGTCTGTATCTTTGTTTGAGTATGGTATTTAACCAGGATCAAACTTTTGTTAAGTAAAACCTTCATTTATTCATTGCATTGCTTTCCTTATAATCTTTATACAGTGTATATTTCCCAATTTATGTCTAAGTGTCTGTGACCATATAACAATCAATTTTACTCAACTCCTTCAAGTCGCTGTAATAATTGTGTTTTGTTCATTTCTAATCTTGAATCTCTTACATGATTGTGGAATTTATAAATGTACCCTGGTACTACCCAGCAACTGATTGGGGATGATGTTAAAAACAAAAAAAGTGAGCTTGACAACAATGATTTAATTATTGCAAATGGTTGTTTATCTGATACTTTTTACAGAATCAAGCGAGGAAAGTGTGTCAGAGATGTCTCTCAGGGGAGCCGGTGAGTTCATGTTTACACCATCCTTGTTTCAATCAATAAGGCACACAAAAATAGATCTGCTTCCAGTTACCCTACCTACCCTATTTTGACAGCCCCTACCCTAATTTTTTGGGGGGAAAATGAGGAAAAACCCCGAAAACCATCACTTACTTACTACAGGCATGCAACTTTTCCTCGGTTCCGCTGATTTCTTCGTTTTTTACTTCTCATGAATGACATTACAAATTGAAAAATACTGTACAAAGTCTTGTGTGGTTTGGAGTTTCCTCGTTTTTTCCTAAATTCCCAGTTGCATGCCTGTTACTACCTTTTACCCTTTACTACATGCAGACACCTCCATATGATCGTACACAAAAAAAATGGAAACAAAAAAATAAATCCCTACCTTATTTAAATGCCATGTAATCGGGGGCAGAACTATTTTTTTTTTTTTGGCCTAATATCTGTTTAATCAAACATTTGCAGTTCAATGAAACTTTTAGTTTAATCAAACTCTTCGAAACCAGAGCATATTTGGTGGGGTGGGCTGGGGGAGGTAGCCTTGGTGGCCACCGATTGCCAATTTTAATACATGTATAATATTCTCTATTTGCTGCAGGGGCCCATGCCCCCTCTTTGACCTTGGATTCGCCCATGTTTTTCTTTCGGTGTGGCACACTGGCTTTAGTCTATGTAATAGGAGCGGGTCCGCTTATTAATTATGCAAGACAACTGCCTCTTGACCTCTAGATTTTGACCAATCAGCAGGCACTTTCTATATCGGGTCTTCGGTCATTCACCCGTTGTCACGTCATAGACATGGATTTAAAAAAAAACTAGACACAGCAACAAAGGCTGTGGTCAGGCACTCTTATGTTACGTGATACGCACAAGCTTGTCTAGGTTTTATCAATCTATAGGCCCCTATGCCCGGCAGTAATTGTTGTATTACAAAACACTGCATTCGAATTGACCAATCAAACAGTTAGTCCTGATTTGGGAATGAAATGACGTCACGATTTAGTAAAGTCGACTCCGATTGGTCGAGGCGCGAGATCGCATAAATCTGCATGCTTAGATATATCAGACGTTATACAGGAGACTGGGCTCCGTGGATAACGGGTGATACTCGGACTACACTGGCTGTTGCACCTTGGTTTACTACTTAAAACCATTTTGACATCAATTTTCCTTTCTCATTTTCTTCTCCCAGGGCCATATAACACACATCGTGAGCTAAACTTCAACTTCTTATACATCCCAGCATTTACTGTGACATCAGAGAGTCAGCTGGCTGCCTGCACAGTTAATTTTAAAAAACGGGAGTTTTTCAGCGATTTTTATTTTAATTGTACAGATTTCTGTTAAGTCTTTTTTATTTTGAATGATTTTCCATTTTAGAATGTGTGTGTGTGAAAGCAGATTACATATTAGTTGCACAGTTTGTGACTTATTAGCGCGTAGAAATTCTGAAATTTAGTTTGTAAGCAATTTTAAAAGATGCGAGTGTTAGGGAGTTAGCAATGCACAATGCACTTGTGATAATGTATACTCAGGTCCATGGTTTGATGAAAAAAATGTAGTTTACAGAACACATTGTAAAGTGTTGTCAAGTTGCATGATGAGTGTTGTATTTGTAGGATACTGAGAGGTAGAGGTAGTGTGAAAGTTTGTGAGTGTTTTCATACTTTGACAATCAGCATGAATTTAAATATAATATGTGACTTTTGTCTTGGTAGAAAAAAAACATTGTAAAGTGCATCAACAAAATATTGTTTATTCAAAATATTGTTTATTCAACTATTGATATTTCAGACTATAAATGGACAATTTCAATTGCAGTTTAAAGTTAAAAAGAAACGAAGGCAGTAAATGATTAAAACATTTACAGGAACATGAAATATGTCTCATTTGTCTGTTGTCGAGAGTTATCCTTGTCTTTTAAAAGTTAACACTGAAATGTATAAAACATGGATAGTGGAAATTTACACTGTAAACTATTTGTTCTGCTGGACTGACGGGTAGTTCCCTTCATAATTGAAGAGAGATAAATTTCAAAGAACAAAAACATGTTTTCTGTTTAAACAAAAAAAAACACCACTTTGTTTATTTCACGAGGCAGGCGAATTGACCAAGAAGGCAAAATAGACTTCTAAAATCTGTTGGCGTGATACAGGCATTTGCGTTTTTTTTACAACCAGAAACATGCGTTTCGGGTTGCCAGATTTTTTTTCCAGCTTTTCATTTTGTAAAGGTATACGCATGAAAAATGTGAGAGAAGTTTGCCTAAGATAATATTAGGCTCACTGCCTGAAGATGATCCGTACATTACAAGCGCTGCAGGGTTTTTTTCTCCTGGCAAAATGCCACTGTTAGTCCTGAACGCAGTACAAAGGCAAGTTCTGTGTTTCTGATAGGTTTTATAAGAGGGACGATAATTGGGGGTATAAAAGTTTGCATTCAGGCAGACACTAGTAAAAGTTTGCATTCAGCCACAGACTGCTTTTTTGGAACGAAGTTTATGGGAAGTAAGCCTTGTTTTCCTTGTATTAGAAAAGACTGGCGGTCTATAAAGTACGACAAAACAGCCAGAATCATAGTCTGTGGAACTAGCACGTGCTCAGTCGGTTCTCGTTAGAAACGGTGAAAATGATCAAACTACACGTATACGTGAATGGGAAGATGAACTGCGATCGTAAAATCATCGGACAATACTTTTATGGCCGTTTGCGCAAGAGAGTAGAGCCAATTATTGAGGGCCTTGAGGACTCCAACTCGCAGCACTCATGCATGTGCAATCGGTCACGTTCCAAGCTCTCAGATCAAAAGATTTAGATCAAAAATGGAGGCAGCTATAAACTGATAAATATTATAATGCAAGTTAATTTTTGTCCACTGCTGTTGTTGCGGGGCGCCGCCGCGGCATCGTGACATCGCGCCGGGATGACGTATGGGCCGTGAAACTTCAAAGAGATCGTGATTGGTCAGTTTTGCGTGACGTTTCAGTTTCAGCAGGTGAATTTTTTGTACACAGTGCACCTGGCACAGGTGTTTCGGTATATACCGGTATAGTTTCGCGTAAGATCAAGAGTTCAGTCTGTGTGCGCTTACGGACCGCGGAAGACCGCAGACGTGTCGCTTGTTTTCATTGTCGAAAGTAAAGGGTTTTTCCTCATCACCTTGAGGTTGTGTTGGCGGCGGTGGACTGAAAGTTTGGAACATGCGAATGGTTAGACAAGAGGTAAGATCTCTAGGGCAGATCTCTATATGTACATGTGCCGAACTGTATAGGATATGCGCTCGTTTTTTTGCTCGTTTCAGATGTCCATTATGGCATTAATTTGTTCGTGTTTGAAGCGAAAATATGGTAAAAAGTAAAATGCTTTTTGATCAGCAGCGTGCGAAGCGTTCGGTACCTAATTTTTTTTTTTTTTGAAATGAGGGACTTAATTTTGATAAAACTTCACAATTATTTCGATTCACTCAATCAACATCGGTATATTGCTTGTCAAGAACAAACTGTTTGAAATCTGGTAACTTTGTGTTTGTCTTGAATGAAAAAGAAAGAAAATGAAGAAAAAAACCAATAACTTCCACTTTAGGCCAATTAAAAAAAACCAGTTGAGCGTCCCCACCCGCTTCCTTTTTTGAGGCTGTATCAATTTTGTTTTTAAATTTCATTTCAAGTTCAGATGCTTCTTATAACTTTACTAATGTTTAATAAGCACTTTTAGAAGGTTTTGTGGTCATCAACTAGTAGACAATTACCAAAGGGCATCCTCTTTTTAATGCACATAATGTATGAACTAAATATGGCTATTTTAGCCTACTTTTTAATAAAAAATAAAAAAGGCCCTCATCCCCCTCTTAAAAAAAAAAACCCCGGATCAACCGGACTTATAGTTTAGTTATTGTTTGAAAATGTACTCATCACTGATTCAGACAGATTTAATTTACATCTGTGACCAGGTTAATTATGATTTATAGTTGCCATTATACACTGCCTTAATCTGATATAATTCAAGATTCCTTTAAAAATCGATTGTTTGGACTTTTTCCATTGATTCTCACCAGTGTTTAGCTTCAAGGAAAGTTTAACTCAAATCAGCAATCATGAGTTCAGCAAAGCATGATGACGTCAGCAGGCCTAAAAAGGGGCGTTCCAAGAAATCGCAAGTTCCCCTCCCAGGCCCCTGGCGCAACTCCTCCTGGGTCAACAGCTTCGGAGGCAAAGGGGCCAGTCCTCTGAAGTACCAGGAAGTCAGCCCCAGCTTCATCCTGAGACAGCTGCTGCTTCTGGTCGAAAAGGGCAAGTTCGTCGACGCCTCGCAACTGGTGAACAAGATCTCGATGGATTCCTTGAAGGACATCGTGATGGACATCCCCATGGAGATGGTCATTGAACGCATCCCACAATCTCTCATTGTGTTGGAGAGTTTGTACTCCAGGCTCTTCATCAGTGACGCCGACAGCTTCCCCATTGAGCAGTTCCAGGTTGAAGTGATGGTCTTCCACGTCGTGCGCTACCTGTCCATGCTGGAGAGCGGTGTGGGCTTTAAACACCCAAAGCCCGAGGATGCCAAGAAGTCCATCATGAACATCTTACGGATCGTCCTGAACGTGAATCCAGACCTGATTCGGACTCTCTACAAGCGCAAGAAGCTCATGGACACGGCCCTGCAGGGAATCGGGGAACACGGCCTCATAGAAGTGAAAGGGTCTCTGATCACCCTCCATGACGCCTTGAAGCTGGAGATTGGGAGGAACATCACGGCGTACAAGGGTGCTGTCAACACCCTGGAACACTTGAACCTCTCCAAAAGCAAGTCGGTCTCGCTAAAGGTCAACGGCGACAAGAAATCGGGACATAACCACCAAGCCCTCACAAAACTGAACGAGAACCAAGTCAAGAATCGCCTGTTCAAAAACAAGGCCTTGCTGAACGCCATCGAATCCCACATCAATACCCAGCTCCCGGCCCTGGTCTCCACCCTCAAAGACCGGATAGAGTACGACAAGAGCGCCCTGCTCGCGTTCGGGAAACTGAAGTCGGAAATCAAGACCTTTTCATCCCACACCAAAGTGGTCCCCCTCTTGGCCCAGTACTCCAAGAGCCTGCGCTCAGTACTTGACATGTTCAAAGAGCTGCTTGACGAGCACTGCTTGTCCGATAAGAGCTCCTACTCCACTCTGGGTTACCATAGCGACGAGGAGGACATGCTCAGTGTGCAGGAAGCGTCCGAGGATTCAACAAGCCAGGAAGCAGTCGTCCAGCCAGAAACAGGTAATAAGTTTGCCTTTTTTTTTCTTCAAATAGCAGACATTCAATTAAAAAGTTTGGATAAACATTGAATAATTATTGACTTGTGGCCTGCACTGAGACCACTATACTGTCACTCGACATCTCAACCCATGGTAAAAATAAACCAGTCAAATGAAACATGTATAGTTTTTGCAAGACAAGCATACTTTGAGGTGGACCATCAACCCCCCCCCCCTTACAAGAGATCCCATGTTTTCATGATAGATGTAGGTGTTTGAGATGTTCTTTTTAATTACCCTATAAAGTTGCATACTCCATGCCCTTATAAAAAAAAGATTTTTATTTCTCTCCAACAAATTTTCAGTTCGTGTGTTTTGTTTTTACGAAAAAAAATACTTTTCTCTCCAAGTTTGGGTGACGGTCTGCAATTAACCTTCTCAAATAGGATTTTCATTTGCACGCAAATGAACCCTCCCAGTGAGAGACAAATTATGTCAGGTGGCAAATATATAATTTGTAAAATACATGTAATTCAATAACTAAAGGTCTGTGGATTTCCATTTGATGTCTCATGCAAAAGTGAATAACTTTCATATTGCCAGGAAAATAGAATTAGATAAAAAAAATTATATTTAACAGGCTGATATTAAAAATTTCACGGAAATTCAATTTTAAGTTGTAAGTACATAATTTATTAGATCAAATGTAAACAGGGGCCTTAGCATTACCACTTTGTAAAGCAGGGATAATACTTAAGCTGTTTTTAAAAGATTATATTGTCAGAAAGTGTTTCTTAATCCAACGCAAACATTTGATATACATGGGTAACATAAGAAAAGTAAAGGAACACAATGGTTTTGTGTTGTGATCACTTTCTGATAAATCCAACTGCAAACAAGGGCAGATCTGGGGGGGGGGCCAAAGGGGGCCATGGTCCCCCCCCCCAAAAAAAAACGAAACCATTTTTTTTTTATGTGACTCGAAATAAAGGCAGACAATGAGTACACCACCATCTTTTCCTAAAAAAACATTGGCTAAAGTGGTCAGAAATTGCCTCAGATCGCACCACAGAGCATCTAGAATTCAAAAATTCTTCCGGGCTCTTAAACGGGCCCCGAACCCCACACCGTAATTTTTTTTACCCACTTTTTGGGGGACCAAAAATGTCCCCCCCTCCCCCAAATTGTGTTCTGGATCCGCCCTTGACTGCAAACGGTGTAATCTTTAAAGACATGCTCAGAAGAATTCCAATTGCTTATTGTAGTTTTAATCAAATTAACGTGTGTATTAACACAACTGCATCTGTGGTGCACATTGGAAATGGCTAAAAGGATGAAGATTTTAATTTGAAGATTTTTATTTGAGTTTTTTTTTTAAATTGGCATATATACATGTAGGGTGAGTCAAAAATAAAGTGACCCAGATTAATAATTTTTTTTTCTTAAAAGGCATTCAAACTTCATACACCAATGAAGTATGTCTTAAAAGAGCATGTTCTTCCACTCATCTGAAGAAAAAAAAGAATTACTGAAATTGATCCATGCTATCAGAGGTTATGCACGTTTTACTAAAAGAACCCATTTTTATAGCTGTCTATGAATGCCATTGGAATTACAGATTACACACAAGCATTCTAATAAAAATGAGATTTTAATCATTTGAGTCAAGACTGAAACATTTTTTTACTGTCAGATTTTCTGTTTTGAGTATGAGGAACAAGTCAACTCTTTTTCTAAAATATTGATGGCGATTTTTGTATGTTTTCCTTTGCATTTTCTTGTTTATTCATACCATGGGTATTCGTCAGTTCGTAAAACGGTAAACGATCAGTGGTGGACAGCTGAATTTTGTGATTTTATTTTGACAAACAGACATAAGTTGGAATAGAGTATGCAAATTCACAGATACTAGTCAATAACATGTTCTTTAAACCTATGTTATTTTTATGAAAATGGAGCAAGTCGCATATTTAAAAAAAAAATTTTCTGAAATTCGGTCACTTTCTTTTTGACTCACCCCGTGTATATGTTCCTGCACCTGGGAACAATATAATTATTTCCTCATATTTGGACCGACAAAAAGATTGAATTCACTGAAAATCATAACTCAAAATGTCGGCAAATGACTAGTCATCGCTTGTCAATATATCTCATTCCAACCTTGAGAAAGAATATGATTAGTTATGATATTATTGACATCCTGGTGAGCTAACTTTTTTTCAAACTCGAACATCATTGTTCCCATTGTCAGCTGTGCCTGTAAACACGTTCACAATAGCATCTTGTGGTTTCTTATGATGAGTGCAAGCTTGCATGGTTGGGTCTTTTGAAATCAAGAGAGAGAGAGATATGGCTGTCTGTGCTGATGACATATTGAAAAGCTTATGGAATGGCTTGCCATGGTTGTAATCACATTGTAATTGCATCACGGCATATGCAAAGAATTATTCAAAAGTAAAATCTCATCCTGGTTCTAGGTTGTTCTTTTGTAGTAAATTTAAGCCCAGGTCAACAGTTGCAGAATTGAAAACCTTGTCAGGAGCCTGCACACTCATTGTATTCTGTCATGATTTAAATTTTTTTTTTCTCCCCAGAATTTGGATTCTACTTAAGTGTAAATTAAAGTACTTTATACACTCACTCTTTTTTTTTGCCGTGTCTTATTAAATATTTTTTTATAGTGACTTTTAGACACTTTGATTATCTGACAGTTGAAACTGAGTTGTATTGAATTTCTGCTTTTGAATTTAATATTTCTTATTGATCATATATGTAAATCTATGTGTTTACACACACATATTGAGACAAACTTTACTTTATTCGCCAATGTATCATAAGTAAATCGCAACCCTGATCAGTGTTTTGAAAGTGCACCTTGGGGTAAATAAGGCTATTTGTTTCCTCTTTTTTTAAGGTGGGGGTGTATAAAATAACAAAAGAGAAATATCAGGATTTTAGTTCCTCATCTCGAGTACAGCAAAGCATAACTCCAGCAAAAAACAAAGTAAACTCTTATTGCAAGTTATCTTTCATCAAATGTTGTTAAATTTTCCCCCAAGAACCACTGGGTCAATTAAGTTTCTTGTATTTTAAAAACAATTGAAGTATTGGTACTCTGTGCTTGACAGAAACAGTGTTACAACAAAGTATCATCTTGTGATAGAAGCTTCGTTTTGGGGGTTTCTTTTTTTTAACTGTAAACTTGCATTCACTTTAATGGATTTTTCATTGAAAGCTCAATACAGCTTGACATGTTTTTTTGTGTGTGTTGCTTCTGGTACAGATGTTGAAGACGATAAGTAGCTTACAACCCACAAGGACCCAAGCATTGAAAAGGGTTTTAAGATTAAATTAGGGTTAAATCTTTCAGATGATCTGCCGTTTTCAAATAACCTTGTCAGCTTCCTGGATGGTGTTCATTGTGCTGAAGGGTTAATTGGTATGGCCAGTCAAAGGTGAACCTTGCGTTTGAATTTACAAGAGGAAAAATCCAAAAAATAAATAATTACAATTATCTTTCAGAGTCTCTTGATGACAGAACTTTTAAGAAATAAAACAGGCTGAGATAGAAATCAGATGCAATCCGATTACTGAGACCAGAACAAACATGTTTTATCTCAAAAACTTTGTCTCCAAGCTTTTTTCTTAATTTAAAAGAGTAGAAAAAAAAACACCCTAAAAAGACTTGCCCACATGGCTCCTTTATAGGGAATATTCCATATTTGCTTTTGCTGTAATTTTCAGAAATGGATGGAATGGGGGTTAGTGTTTTATAGCAAATATTGTGACAATGACCTGTTCAAAGTTTTGTGTTTGTAAATGCTGGTTAAACCAATTGAACAAAAATCATGTTCCTGTAGTCTGGTTTCTAGACCCCACCTCAGATAAAACAGAGTAATTTATAGACGTCGGGGAATTGTAAGGTCAGGGAACCAGTCTAGCTGGCTTGTACCCGTGCGTAGGTTTGTAAAATCGATTGCAAACAAAATGTGGACTAACTAAATTTGGTAAATTGGAGCGGTATTTGAAGAAAAAAAGCCAGTTTTTTTCCAACGATGGTTGGCCGACCATCGTTGGACATTAATACAAATACCGCCTCTCTTTAAAATGTCAGCACACCAGGTGCCATGATTTTACAGGATGCTTTAGACTGTCATTCACTAACAGTTCAATAAGGTATTTCAAAACAGTTTGGGAGTTTTGTTTTTGATGTTAAAAAGTGGATGTTTCACTCTTTTTTTCACTATGGGCCCATTGCAAAGGGGTTAAAACAGGTTTGCTTTTCGTGTCTTGATGCATATATTGCAATAGTTTAATTTCTGGTCCACAAGAGATTCTGCTGTATATGTGATACCGGTGCTACGTACTTATAATAAAGTGTGTTTGCTTCACAAGAAGGTGCAAGGGCCAGCTGAACCGAAGAATAGAACGCACCAAACTCGGCCGGGCCAGACTTCTATTCCACCCGATTTCGAGGTCTACCCCTGCAGAGGGTCAACCTCATTATTGTGTGTCGCTTCCGTCTTTTGTGATCCTGTTGATCAAAAGCGATCTATCAAAATGATCAGAATATACTTTTGATGGCCTTGAGGAGTTTTTGATATGCAAATATGTCCCTTTCTATGTCTGATCACTGTCAGTTATCAAAAAGATTGGACAATTTTATTGTCCTTCAGGGGGTTTAATATGTAGATATTTCACTTTTTTATGTCTGGGAGTCTCCCAGTGGACCCTTAGATGACATGAGAAAGATAAAGTTGTCTTTTGTCAGATAAAATACTGAACTCTGCAATTCTTTTACAACAGTGTCATACATGTTTTGTTTTTTTCTTAAAGAATTGAACGTTGGATAGGAACTTAAAAAATGCATTTCTGTTTCCACATCTTCCAGACAGTATGGACAAATACGTTGGTTGAATTCTAAACCAGTATACCTTCCAGTTTCTACAAGCAGTTTATAAGCTGAGCATCTAAATCTAGCCAAGTAATGCCTGAATTGAGGATTATTTACAGAACATAAACAGGGTTGTATTTCGTACTCGATTTATAAACGCATTTACTAATGGCATCAAGAATGCCGAGCTCCATACTTTGATGTGCAATAAAATGTCAATAAAAGTCAAACTATACAGTCAGGATTTTTCATGACATTTTCCTGTATAGTTGGATGTTAGTATGCTAACAACGGAAGATGAATAAAGTTTCTACTTTAAATCTTGTCAAAGTTTTCTAATCACATAAACTGCAGCCGGATTTTTGGGCTAAATTGCACAATTTAGTGGTCCTTAAGAAATCTTGCAAGTAATTAAAAACTGCTTCATGGTGCCTTGTCCATACTTAAAGATGAAAAAAATACAGTTCTTGGTGTAATCTGTCCTTGAAATGTTGAATTCGTTTCAACTTTTGAATGCAGCTGTTTGACTATAATGTTCTTAAATAACAGCCATTCTAGATCATGATGTGTAATTATGAAGATATCTTTATGGAATTTTTACACAACTTATATGATAACTGCTTTATTGTTATCCTACAAGGAAAACATACTAAATGTATGGTGTTTTGCAAAGGCTCACCTTTCAATAAAAGATGGCAGGGGATTAAGAGGGGCACAAATTCTTGAAATGAGCTGCAAATGTGGCTCCATAAATTAAATGGGTTGTATAATGGGAGGGCGATGGTCCCTATAATAGCCTTTGAATTACATGGAGTCTGTAAATTTGTTAAAAATTGGTGTCTTGTGGAGACCCGGGTATAATACAGAACAAAAGATTGTAAAGGTCTCCACAAGGCAATTTCTAAAGGTGAATAGGTCTCCACAAGGATTTCACGAAATAGCTATACAGATTTTACTCAAAAAGTAGGTATTTCCAAGGTATACTTATCCATCACAAATTAAAGTATTTTATGTAAGGAATATTCGGTCGGAATTTCAACCCAGGCAAGTAATTCTGGTTGAAATAGGAGCATTTTGAAAATAGCTCGACCCTCTCACAATTTTGCACACCAGACTAAAGCAATGTCTTCACAAGGATACAAATTTGAGTAAAGTTGTACTGAAAGTGCTTGCTAGTATGTTATACAGAACTCACTTTTTTAATGGGAACAATTATTTAGAACATTACCTAGACTCATTTTTGTGTGTGCGTGACAATAATCAGCTTCAACATCGCTCCACCTTGTTGGTGGAGGGATTAGTTTGTCCATGGTCTAATTCAAGAGTTTAAAACGGGAGGGGGGACGTCCCCTTCTCCCCCCCCCCAAGTTACGCCACTGCTTGTTAGGCAGATTTGAGAAGAATCACTGTGCGAACATTCCGTGGTAAATTACCATAGACCGGCCACCGGATACAAGTCCATGCTGCACTACTGACATGTTAGAACTTGAAAATTAGCATTTGCAATAACAGCAATTTGATAAGCTGAAACCTGAACTGAAAAAAGATTGATTGATCAAGCACAAAATAATCGTAAACTGTTTTGTTGGTTGGTGAGGGTTTGGGAGCATAAAATTTAACCGCCTTTTTCCTTTTTTGACAACTGACCAAGATATATTACTGTTGACCAGTGCCAGGCCATTTGTCCTGTACTTCCCCTTTTTGCACGGATCGAAACAACCCAGTGTTTGTTTTGTGGGAAAACACGGGGCAGGCACCTCGATCTTCCCCACGCATGAACAACTTTTGCCCTTGGCAAAAGTTTTCTCACGCAAAAATGTGCAATTTGCGAACAGAGCACCGGTATTGTGCAGCCCCCGAGGCATTGTGTGTCCCCTTCACAGTTGAGCGGTCGCCAGTTATTGTCCTTTCATTTCTAACGTCACTGAGAACGCACGTCCTTGATGTTGCCTTCTGAAGTTTCGAAATCTGAAAAGCCATTTTTTTTGGGAGGATTCTTTTGTCGCAAAGTCTGGCGTGTACGCTTGTTTACGGTTGTGGTTTTAGCTGTCAGCCCGCAATCCATTATGCAAGCTTTTTGATCACTCTGATTGTGTTGAACGTGGGAAATCTGGAACCTCCAAGCAGGCATGAGCGGCTTCAATTGTCACTGTCCACCGTAAACACCGAGGATTTGTATAATTTCCGTCTACTACGACCCCCTTAAAAAATGACATTCATACATGATTTGAAAAAAAAATATGAAATTGTCACGTATGAATTCAATTTAACTTTGACAAAGACTCTACTACAATGGAAACTAGTACATCTACATTTTTTTTTTTTTTTTTAACTTTGATTTGAAATGGCATTTATGTAAACTGCTCTGTTATATATCTTGTTGAATCACATTTAGTTTTACGAATCGTTGCCTCTTTTGTCAAAATGTTATGGTGTATTTAGCCAGGTGTTCTTTACAGTAGAATCAAGTTATAGTATTGTTTTAAAGATTTTGTTTGCTTCTTCTGTAGTAATTTCTATTGAAAGCTAGCTCTTAAAGGGAATGTACATTATTGGCTTTCGCTGTAATTTTCAGAAATGAACTATTTGGGGGGTTAGTATAATAGATCAAATATCGTTGCACTTACATGTTTGAAGTTTTGCGTTCGAAAATGCTGGAAAACCAAGAAAAACAAAAATGTTCAAGTATTCTGGTTCCCTGACTCCACTAAAGATGAAATGGATCAAAAATGCCGGAAAATTGTAAGGTAAAGGAACCAGTCTAGCTGGCCTGCACCTGTTCATGAACATGGAACCAATAGCAAACAAAATTTGGACTGAAAAAAAAACAGGTAAATTTGGATCAGTTGTTGAAAAAAAGTTAGGTTTTTCCAACGGTGGTCGGCAGACCACCGTTGGAAATGTATACAAAAGTACCATTTTTCTTGAAAATGACCTCACACCAGGTGCCCTAATTTTACAGGATGCTTTAGACTGTCATTTACAAACATCCTAGTAAGGTATTTCGTAACAACTTGGTAGTTTTATTTTTCGATGTTTGCAAATGTTGTATTTTCCCTTTAATGTTAATAAAGCTTACATACAAACATTATAACCATGGTGTTATATTCCTGTAAACTCCAAGATCGTGCTGTTTACAGCAATTTTATTTTCTTTAAAAGAAACTTTCCCATATTACTTTGAAAACAGGCATATTTATTTTCTCACGACAGGTTCCAGTCGCAGGTTTTTTTTTTTAATATCATTTTACAATGTTTTTCTTGTTGAACTTCCTTATAAAAGAACACCCAAATGTCACGTTCAAATTGAAAGAACATGGCTACACACCACAAAGCATCATAGTTGTATGCACTTTGGATTATGGATAACACAGCATGTGAACATTTCAACGTCAGTGGTCGGTTGAGTCATATCAAAAGATCAAAACAGCCATGGGAATATTATTGTCCTCAAGTGTTGTGTCTGGAAAATTGTAAAAGGACTTGAATTTCTGTATGTGGTTACAGTCCTCTACCAAAAGTGACATTTTAGCAAAGTTAGCCAAGTAGAAGTACTTTAAAGGGTCCATGCAATGAATTTTTCTTGGGAACATATTTTGTGCAACTTTCTACTCCTCTTAAATGTATGAAAACTATTTGAAACCCCCTTTTGGTTAATTTTATTGAAAAGTGCACGTCTTAAGACATTTAAATTGTCCATGCTTTTCCAGACAACTGAGCGCGCTGTTGCTGTGATGTCATTTTTCAGGAAGACACTGTTGAGTTCATGAGTTTTCTGTTGAAAAATGTGAAACCAAAAATTTGCTCATTGAAAACATTGTGAGAAAAGTTTGCTTATTGGACTACCCATGTACTGATACAACAACGAATCACCAAAGAAAAGGAAATATTCAACAGCAAAGTATCCAAAGTTCGGGCAACTTTTGGTGCAGAAATAGCTGTAACATTGAAATTTCTGCCTGAAATGACGTCACAATTTTGCTCATGAATATAGAAATTCGCATTAGCATAGAGACCCAAAAAAGGCACCAAAATGCCCTTGAAAATGGAAAAATCATAATTGAAAATAAGGATAAATGGGACACAAAGGTGCATTTTTAAGGATTGCATTAAAAAATTACATTACAATGGCCCTTTAAATGTGATTTTTCTTTCAATTGATATTACTCTACTTTTTTGTCTCAAAATTTCTGCAACTTTACCAATGTACATATTGAATCAAAAGTGAAAAAAAAAAAACTAGCGCACAATCTTTATTTCTGGTACATTTCAGTATGTGAAGTGTTTCAGCTTCGAGTCGTTTAATCTTATATTCTCATCACAGACAGTTTAGATGAGTACATTGGCACAAATTATGCAAATTTCTTTCAAAAGTCCATGACGATACCTCCATATCAATGTACAAAAAATAACTATGGCCATCATAATTGTTGACTAAACCGATTCAAGAAAAAAAGACTGTCAAATCTCAAGCGACCCCACTTGCCCCACCCCTCGCGACGCCCATGTTCGTGCACCAACCAGTACAGTACAAACACGCCGTTTTCCATCCACGGGGCTCTCAAAAGTGGTAAAAAAGCGCCCTCTTTTGCTGGTGCACGGAGCCATAGGCTGGCTCTTTGGGATGTTCAAAAAGAAAGTAAGCTCATTGCCAAAAAAGAAAGAAAAAAGAAATCATTCCCAATTTCTTTTCTTTAAAATTTCCTTACAGACGAAAGTGATATGCAGGAAGTCCCATCAACCATTGCGCAGATCTTGAACCCACCGGCCGACGAGAGCAGCCACGACAAACTGAGCCTTCCCGGCGAGGAGATTCCAGACAAGCGATCTCGCTGGTGGAAGAGCCACCGACGGTCCCACTCCTTGGAGATCGGCGGATCGAGTCGCAACGGGAACCGACAGTCTGTCGTCATCAGCGAGCCCGTTGGCAGGCCGCGCTCTCGCACCAGTTCCGTGGACCGCGGAAGCATCTCCAGGCCCCGCCGGGATAGCGTGGAGGAAAGCCAGGAGTTCAAGACGATGATGACGCGAATCCGTGAAATGTCTGGCTCCTCACCAGGTAGGAAAACAAAAGCTTGTAGGATAAAACCGGAACTGCCAAAAGAATGGATGTCTCACTTCAAGTTCCCTGTGACTCATATGTGCTAGTCCTGGTCGAAGACTGTGCAGATTTTGTTCCTGGCAGCAGAGGGCGCTATTAAGAAAATAACTCAAAGCCAGGGCCAAGTTCGCGCAAGGACTATAGTTGACCAATGGTTAACTAACGTTTGCCCGAACTCTGTCTAGTCGACGGTGGTTGACTACGCTAGTCGACTATTTGGAACCAGCCTACTGGGGTTGGTTGCATCGCTGGTAACCAATAGCCGCGCGCATTCATAACGCTAGCAGAGAGCCAGGATCCAGAAGTTTTGCGATGACATTTTGACCAGCGTTTGACTAGAGACGTTCGCACGTTGCTATCAGTGCGCAGGCCTAAGGTACGTCACAAATCAACCACTAGTCGACTAATGGTCCTTGCCCGAACTTGGCCCAATCTTGGGAACTTTGGCACTCGGACTCGAAAAATTCTGTGCAATTAGAGAAATTGATTTTGTACACAACGAGTTAACAGAATCTTTAACTGCACTTATGCTACATTGCATTACGCCAATTTTTTTTCCGACGAATCCATCAAACCAAAGAACACTCGGGCGGTTTTGGGCGCTACTGGGAGTAATAGGCCAGGCGGTTTTGGGCGTTGCAGTGACTAGTAGGTTAACTACTTGAAAGTATAACGATGTAGTTCCCGTCATTTCTTGATAGCTATTGGCCGTCGCCAGTTGGAACGCCGCGGTATCAGCCAACCACGGAGCAGAGATTCGTCCATCTCGCCTGCTGCTCTACGAAGGCACTTCTTCGGAGGAGGCGGATCTGGAGAGCAAACCCCTTCCATCAGCTCTCAGAGTAAGACACTCTCTTTGCCTTTTGGATGTTGGGGTTTTCGTTTTTTAAGGTTTACCCTCTCAGAACCTTAAGAACTTTTTCTTGAGGATGATTCTGCAGGATTAAGGGAAGTAGATCCAAGCCACTATGGGTCTTGATGCACCTTGAAGTTAACAATGATTGTGCCATTTGATGGGTTCTCAACAAATAGTTGACTCTGGAGAATTCTGGCAGATTCCAAGCAATTGCCTTTAGGGAGTAAGGCGCAGGGTCCTAATGAATGTGACAGCAATTTGAAGTCACTGACATTTTTGTATCAACCTTAATAAGTTGGGCAATGACAGGCTCTAGAGCAATACAAAAAATTAGTCAACTTTGTTCATTTTCAATTAGTACATGTTGTTCTACACCACTCAAACGACATGTACTTTATAAAAAAAACAGGCATGCAACTGGGAAGTCACAAAAAAAGGGGAAATTCAAATTTTTCCAAGACTTTGTACAGTGTTTTTCTATTTTCAATGGCACACATTGGAAGTGAAAAAAGAGGAAATCAGCTGATCCGAGGAAAAGTTGCATGCCTGAAAAAAAAGACACAATTCAGAGGTAAACTTGGTTCACCAGAAGGGTTCTTTTTACTGCTTATGAGATATATATTTTTTTTTTTTCATTTTTCAATTTTTTGATATTTATTTATTCTTGTCCATTCAAAGCTGAATCCAAAGACGACCCGGATGTTATTTATGCGTCCATCAAGCCCAAAGGTCAGAGGTCGCAGGCATCTGACAAGGAGATCAAAGCTGAATCCAAAGACGACCCGGAAGTTATTTACGCGACCATCAAGTCCAGAGGTCAGAGGTCGCAGACATCCGACAAGGAGATCAAAGCTGAATCCAAAGACGACCCGGAAGTTATTTACGCGTCCATCAAGCCCAGAGGTCAGAGGTCGCAGGCATCCGACAAGGAGATCTTGAAAGCGGGCCCCAGCCTGGCCCAGAAACTGGAGGACGCGCTGCGGGACCGCGACCGCCTGGCCGAGAGCGAAAAGAAGCTGAAACGGGAGAACGAGCAACTCAAGGAGACGCTGCGCTTGATTACCATGGAGATGGAATCGATGAATGGCAGAGAGACAGAATCTGCAAACGAGGAGTGAGTCCGAAGCCAGACTTGTGGGGGAGGGGCAATAATGTGGGGGGGGGGGGTGTTCAGGGGCTTATACGATAAACCCCTCTGCAAGCAGCAAAGGTTTTTTTTTTTTTCCTGTTACAGCTTTTGTCATCTCCTATGACCTGATGTGGTGGCTCCCTGAAAACCTTAACATTAAAAACATAAAATCGTGGCTATAAACAACACACATTGTAATATGGGTGCAATGCATGCACAGTGAGGGCGCTTTTTTACCACTTTTGAGAGCCCATGGACTGGACACACTGTACGCGTGCGCGTACTGATTCACACGTGTAGTGCGAAGTACCCACGTTGAATGTGCACAAAGCGTCTTCGCGGGAGTGTCATGCGCCATCTGCAATGCGTTCAAATGTCCCAGTGATCTCCCCCAACTCTCCCTTTCTTACCATTGAGGGGGTACTTGCAGACGGAGCCAATCCTACATGCAGATTCACATGTATAGGACAGGTTTTGGGGTAACGAAGTAATGGCACAATATTTTTTATACATCTGGGGAGCACTGCTAACATTATTCAACCCCTTTATCATCTGGTTACCTCATGGAATCGGGAAAAGAAGAAGCAGTTTATAGAAATGAGATGAAGTACATTTTAACCCTAACCCGCGGAATCCAACAGGATCCAACTACCGCGGTATATCGGTATATCATAAAGCAGCATAAAGCCTGTTGGACTCTGTTGGATCCAGCAGACAACTAAACATTAGGCACAGTTGGATTCTGTTAGATTGAGCAGGAAGTAACCGTTGGACTCTGCTGGATTTAGCAGGGTAGTCTTTTAATATTTTTTTGACAATGTAATTATGCGTTTGCAATTTTTCTTTTCTACAGAGTGTTTTCACCTGGTCCTGCTGCTCAAGAAGGTCCAACTGTATTCTCTCAGCGAACATCGGAGTCAAAGGAGGAGCCACCATTACAGTCTTCAGCAAAGGAATCCTCTGTTCCTACCGATGGTGGCAGTAGCATCTCAGATCAGGTACTGACAACATTCCCCGAACCGATTCCAGCCCCACAGCAATTCTCCAACCCAGAGCCAACTGTAACCCCATCTCCTACTTCCAAAGGAGCGGCAGTTCCACCAGTTTCACCAGTTTCACAAGAATCTCCAATGTCACCCCTGACACCGATTTCGCCTCTGGAGCCAGTTTCTCCGTCTTCGTCTAGCAAGGAGAATGCTTTGCCTCCAGGGTCTAAAAAGACGGCATCTTTTGTCGAGAAGCAGAAGGCTATTCTTAGAGAGCAAGCAGAGCGCTTGAAACAGTCCTCCTTCAAGGCACAGGTACCACTGGAAGAGCTGCCAGAGTCCAGTGTCAGGCAGCAGAGGGCCTCCATCGAGCTAAAGCTGAAAGCTGAACTGGAAACATCCCCGCCTCCAGTTAAACGGCCGTCGAATCCTGTTCTGAAGCCTGACCTGCCTGGGCCAGAACCAGCCGAGCCAGAGCCACAAGTCTCATCTGGTGAACTTCAGGAAAAATCTCAACAGCCAAAGCTTGCTGAGCAGTCCCAGGGTATCGCAGAGCCAGCCAAGCCAGGGCCAGCCAAGCTAGAGCAAGCCAAACCAGATCTAGAGAACCCGGAGCAAGCCGAGCAAGAGCATGCCAAGCCAGAACCACAAGTCCCCTCCCTTGAACAGCAGGAAGGATCTGAACAGGCAAAGCCTGCTGAGCAGTCTCAGGACACGGCAGTCCAGGAGAACAACCAACAATCATCTCCATCCTCTCAGGATCAGAAGCCTCCCGCCGAACCATCGCAGCCCAATGATGAGCCTCCAGAAGAGCCTGTTGAAAAACAGGAGACTCCAACCGAGCAGAAACCACCAATGGACCACCAGGAGTCAAAACCATCAACAGACCTCCAGGAGCAGGCCAAACCTCCTACGCAGACCAATCATCAACCCAAGCCCGCCTCTCCCAAGAAAGCAAAATCGGCCACGTTCTCTGCTCAGCTTCACCTGAGGCCCATCCCGGAGTCCTCCTCCCCGACTACCCAACCTAAGGCATCCAGCCTCAAGGAGGTGCCAGACAACCGGCTGAGCAAGAACGGCGAAGTGAAGAAGCAGAAGAAGAGCTACACCCACACCAACCGCCATCTGCCCAAGAATCTGATCCGTCACGTGACCGGTGATCTACTCTATCACTACGACAAACTGTACTCCGAACAGCGGGCTGTTGCCTGGACTTGTCTAACCATCCCGCCCGAGGACAAAGACGCTTTGCTTTTCTCAGTTATTGTGGTATGTTTTCAATGTCATCTGGCTTTTTAAAGTTTCTCCTCTTTCTTTGTAACAACATGTCATCCCAGCAATTGGAAGGTTTCCCCAAAGCCTAGAAAATAGTTCTAAAACACAATAATGGGGACCAGTTATTTATTGTAACTTTGACAGTGTTTACCAGACTCTCATAACACCAGCCTGCCATATTGCTTCGTCATTCTTAAAAAAAAAATTTCAGGGATTCTTTCATTTTTCTCCAGATCTTAGGATTTTGTTTATAGATCTTGGGATTTTTTTAGATTTTGGGGTTTTTAAATCTTGGAAAATTTCACATCTTGCAATTTTTTAAATCTTGAGAATTTCTTTTTTTTAAATGTGAGAAATATCAAATCTTGGCATTTTTTAAATCTTGAGAATTTTAAAAATCCTGAAATGTTTTGAATCCTATAAAGGGAATGATTTCTGTCTCTCCAACCCCCAGTTTGCATTTCAGAGCGCCCAGACCACCGTCCACGAGCTTCACATGGCCAGGGCTCGCATGCTTCTTATCCCGGCCACGGACGACGAGGAGAGCGTCAGCAGCTACACTATGGACATCCCGCCAGACAACCGGTCACAGGTGGAGCTCTTGGAACATCTACGCAAGATGGGGGACAGCTTCGATCTTACTCCCATGATCACGGTGAGACATCTACAAATTGCGAAGTAGTACTAAAATATCTTCCAAGACATTAGCACTCCATGCGTGAACAGAACCAAAGAGAGCTCAGGAGATTTGTGACCTGGTGGGAGGGATGAGAATTATTTTTTCTAAAAACGAGATCCGACAGTATCAAAAGAGGGCGCTCTGACTCTCTGCGTTATGCATATTCATGATGTCCAGGGCTTTAAGAATAAGTTATATAACAAGGAATAATAGTGTTTAAATCACCGACGATTGGCAGCTGATTCGTGGACTGGTTGGAAGTAGTCCTGACTTCGAATCAGGGGATCCGAGTTCGAATCCCAGTGAGTGTTTTTCACTTGTTCTCATTTTACCTTTTAAAGAATAAAAGTGAGGAAGGAACATTTCTCACAAGACGTAAAGCCTATCTTGGGTTTGTGTTGTGGAGAACAAGGTATTAGATACGCATGTAACGGGCCAATCGGAAGATGGGAAACGGATGTTGTTTGGGAAAATACAATACCTGGGAGGGACGTTCCGTGTGATTCGCGAACGTAGGAATGTTCACAAACCCATCTTCGTGTTAGGTAACTTGTACTCGGTTGGCAAAGTACTCGGACTTGAATGGTACTCGGTAATCCAACTACTTGGCAGTACTTGACAACAACACTATCCGCTCCGTTCACAAGTACCCCCTCACCGGCAAAGAAGGAACAGTTGGGGGTGACCGACCGACGCCATCTTGCCCGACTGCAATTTTGCCGCGACGTGCAGCGCGGCTGTACCATGCACTGCATGTCCATAGTACAAATCCCCTGGTGTACGTGCGTCACACACAAGGAACGGTGCGCGTCAACCAGCTAAATGTCCCGCCCATGGGACGTCGTTGCTAGGTAAAAGGGTGCCCTCTTTCGTTGGCGCACAAAGCCCATACTACAACTTTATTAAGCCTATGAAAAAAAAAATCACCTTCGTTCCTTATCTCGTTTCCCCCCAGGATGTAATGGAACAACTCTTTGAGATAACGGAGCACGTTGACATCCTGCAGATCTCTGCCGCATTCAAGAAGTTTGTCACGAGTTGCGTCAGCTTAGCCTGGCGCTTGTCCATCCAGAGCGCCCCCTACGTCATCGACTTCGAGCTGCGATCCTTCGACCCGGCGCTCCACCAGAGGGTCCCGGGCTCCAACCGCAAGAGCGCGCGAGTCAAGGAGCACATTTGGCCGGCTCTGCTGGAGTCGACCAAAGGGATGTGCGTTTACAGAGGTGTGGTGCTTACATGATGGCCGTCATCTGTTTAGACACGTTGGTAACTTAGGTTTTCAGGATTTGAATGGGGAAAAAAAGGAGATTATCATATATATGGGCAGTGTTAAGGCTATGAAACAACTGGATATGAGTTACTATTAAGGAAATAAATATGTGCTTGGCCAGTTTTAAACAAGTACATTTAAAACCAGCTGTGGAGCTGGACGCTGATAATCTTGATTTTACATCAACCATGCAGCTATAAGAGTAAGCCAGCATGTCATGTGGCAAGCCTGCTGCAAGCTTGCAGGCTATCACGCAAGCTTGCAGGCTATTACGCAAGCTTGCAGGCTATCACGCAAGCTTGCAGGCTATCACGCAAGTTTGCAGGCTATCACGCAAGCTAGCAGGCTATCACGCAAGCTTGCAGGCTATCACGCAAGTTTGCAGGCTATTACGCAAGTTTGCAGGCTATTACGCAAGCTTGCAGGATATCAGGCAAGCTTGCAGGATATCAGGCAAGCTTGCAGGCTATCACGCAAGCTTGCAGGCTATCACGCAAGCTTGCAGGCTATCACGCAAGCTTGCAGGCCATCACGCAAGCTTGCAGGCCATCACGCAAGCTTGCAGGCCATCACGCAAGCTTGCAGGCCATCACGCAAGCTTGCAGGCCATCACGCAAGCTTGCAGGCCATCACGCAAGCTTGCAGGCCATCACGCAAGCTTGCAGGCCATCACGCAAGCTTGCAGGCCATCACGCAAGCTTGCAGGCCATCACGCAAGCTTGCAGGCCATCACGCAAGCTTGCAGGCCATCAAGCAAGCTTGCAGGCTATCACGCAAGCTTGCAGGCTATCACGCAAGCTTGCAGGCTATCACGCAAGCTTGCAGGCTATCACGCAAGCTTGCAGGCTATCACACAAGCTTACCGCAAGCTTGCAGGATATCACGCAAGCTTGCGGCAAGCTTGAACCTAAGTAGCAAGCTTGCAGGCGATCATGCAAGCTTGCCGGCTATCACAAGCTTGCAACGAGCTTGTACTTTGCTTGCAGAATTAGTCGCAAGCTCCCTGCAAGCTTGCGGCTAGCTTGCCGCAAGCTAAATTTTCTGTAAGGGTAGTGCTAAAAATCTCCTTTTATGGAGATTGGCGGGCGTATATACGCGATGTGGCGCAGAATGCAGCGGTGCAGGAATAAAGTGTCTTAAAACCAGTTGGTGTTTTATCAACAGTTTAAAACCATCCACGTGACGGCCTCTCGACCCATAGAAATGGGTGAACTGTCTAAGGCATTTATGAATCAATTCTGTCACAGAACTATCAAGTAATAAGGTTGATCTTAACCGCTTTCACTAAAGTATGAAGGCTTGTTTGTAGTATGCTCTGCAAATTTGCAAAACGTTACAAAATTTATCACAAAAGTTTCACGACATCAAAATTCACTTCACATGTTCATGATAAGTGCGTGCTGGACTTTGCATGTTACTGTATTTTTTTGGGGGGTGGGCTTACTAATAATATTAAGATTCAAGAACACGGTAAAGGTTTTTTTACATACTTGTAACGGTGTTTACATCTTAAAAAATTGTAAATAATGGAAAGTAAAGTTTCCCTCAAAGATGCAGAGTCCTTTTGGGGTATTGGTTCAGTCTTCCCGTTGGCTCAAGCAATAAAAACCAACCAGTAAGCAATAATATTCTTTCTGTGATTTTGGTTCAGAGAGCTGGTTTGGAAGAACTTTCTTGTTCGTCTGGAGAAATGGACAAAACAAAGGGCCGACCTGTTGTACAGTTGTTCCAATTACGAAATTCGTAACAAGTTTTTCAAATTCCAGATTGTGGTTGTTACATATGATGTACAGGGCGAGTCAGAATCATCTGGACCCAAATTAAAGAAAATATTAAAAATATGTAGCAATTATCAAAACAAGTGCAAGTGAGATATGTTATAGGCTGGTATTTTGGACACATTTGGTGAAAGTTTCATGTGTATCCATCGTACCATTTTGAAGAAAAGTGCTAGTACAGAAAACACACTAAAAACACTCTGACCACGGGTTCCGTGGTTCAACAAATTTATTGAAATCCTGTACTGATGTGACTGCATTGTTTGAAATGCAGTCACATCAGTACGCGATTTCAGTACGTGACTCGACCAATAGGAATAAGTAAACTGTCCTAGGTATTTGTGAATATTATTTCATAGGTTGCTGGGTTAGTAACTGGTGTTTACATCTAAAGATATATATATATGTACATGGGAATATAGGTATCTATTTTGTCATACTAACCTATATTAGTATATAGCCAGACAAGTACTTTTTAGTACGAATTATGCAGTTTATTGTATTTTTATAAATATGAGTAAATTTTCATCAATTCATGTTCAAAATTAGCCCCATAAATGTGGCCAATTTACTGGCCTACCTCCGTAAATAAAGGCCACACTTCCACAATGTACAAAAACATGTCGAACTTTGTCAGAAAGTGCTTCCTTTTTCAGATGTCTAATTTTCGTGAAATTTCATGTTGAAATTTTGATACGCAAACATGTGCAAACGAATCTGGAAATTTCACGAAAAATAGACACCTGAAAAAGGCAGCACTTTCTGATTAGCCTATAAAGAGGGTGAGTATGCTTCTAAAGCAAAAAAACCCTACAAACTAAGCCTAAATGTGAAAATCAAAATTTGACAAAGTTCGACATGTTTTTGTACATGGTGGAAAATGTGGCCTTTATTTACGGAGGTAGTCCAGTAAATTGGCCACATTATGGGGCTAGTTCAAAATGTGAATTTATCAACACAATAAGATACTTATTTCAGTCATCTCCATTTTTTGTTGTTGATTATGTAGCATTGGTACCTGCATGTAATTACCTCAGTGCAGGGTGCACGGCGGTGGATAGGTTGAGTCTTGCGTGGGGTAGCTCAGCACTCAGTACAGGGACTCGATAAAGAGACGCATGTAGACCAGTTGAAGTTACTCACAAGACTGCCTTGTGGCTGGCCCACGCATGGGAGTGGCAGACCAGCACGACATGCTTGAATGGTTTATTACGTAATCACCACAATTACAACTTTGCCTAGTTTTTTTTCCCCCTGGTTAATTATGTGTTTTGAGTTAACTACTTGTACTTCATCTCAGAAATATCTTTAAGAAATCATAAATTTAACTTTCCAGATACATGATATGACAGGAACTGCCCCAAAATATGTAAATTTTTATATTTTTTTTGTAACTTGGAATATAAACATTTTAATCTATTAATGTGGCATGTACATGTATTGACTATGTTCTTTGAAAGAGGCTGGAATTGTTTTTCTTCCATTTTCCCCCTTGAAATGTAATGCTCGACTATTTTCAGAAATCCTTTGCGCCATTCATAATAGAGGAGTTTCAAATTGGCCCTGAAAAGAAACCGAGGCTGTCTTTTGTTCAGAGGATTTAAAAACAACAAAAGTCCTCAATTCTCATACAATGGCTTAGCCTTAGTTTCAGTTTAAAATGTGTCTGTTCAGATCCATCTGTATTGCATGTCTCGCCTGCTTTCACGATTATCTTAAAGAGTGACCTTTGCCTTGGTATGTGACCTTTGACATCATTATCATGTGAAGGTTCCCATGTTGCATCTATGACCCAAGTCTGGTTCCAATCGGACTTCAACTTTTGAAATGAGACCAATTACTTGAAACTTTAACCAAAATACCTTAAACATAATTGCATAGTCTCTTTCCTGAACAAAGTCCAGGTGAGACAAAAAGGACATCCACAAAAAAAAACATGCCAACCATCGTCTGCCAGCTGTAATTCTCCCTTTTATTACAAAAAAACCCAGCATTAAAATATATGCATTACAACAGTTGACAGGACATTATAGCTTGTCAGTGCACAGGTTTTTCTTTTTTTTTAAATAAGCCAAAACTACCTTCATTACAACGCTAATAACCGATACAAGTATGTGTGATTGCCACTGCACAGATAGCATGGTATCCAGTGATCGAGATTCAAGATGATAATGTAGGAATTTCACTACAAAAATACCCGAAGCCATAAAATATACACAATCAACAATTTATCATTATTGATCAATCCATTATGATCCATCTAATTCAAGGTCTGTCGTGTTGTTTTTAATTTTGTAAACCCCGAACCCTTCCCAATTTAAGGTAGTATCGAAAACGAAGACCCCTAAAACGAAGACCGAAGACCCACTCGAAAACAGTGCTAAAGTTTTCGAGTGGGTCGCGGTTTTCGAATACACACTCGAAAATGAAGACCCCCTGTTTTCAAGTGACTCTTCGGTCTTCGTTTTAGGGGTCTTCGTTTTCGATACTACCCCCAATTTACTCGGAATTACTTTTAGTGGTCCGGGACACGTCACTCTTCGTACAAAACAATTTGAATATTATTAGAAATTGTGTCATGCAGTTGTATAATTTTTAGTTGCCAAAAGATGCCAACCTTTTTCCGTTGAAGAGATTACTTGTTTCAAATATGAATAATTTACAATTTCAATTATTATATCATTCTTTTTATTTTGCTGATGAATTGGCCCAAAATACCGCTCAGCTTAAGGGAACAATAGATTTGGCAAATTGGGCCACATTGTTTTTTAATACTATACTCCTGTCACGTCCATCACAGCCATTTATATGCTAACAATCAATTCACAAAAAAAAAATACAAAGCCTTTCATAAAAATAAAATCAGAGATGAGTTAAAAAAAAAAACAAAGCAGAAAACCACGACGACAATTCATAAACTCTCGGATTTGTAGAATTTCTTTATCAGTTTGAAAATATTGATATTAGTGGCAATATAGATGCATTTTATAGATAATTTCTTTAAAATATATGTGATGATATTTCAGAGTTAAAAAAAAAAAAATTCAAGATGACATGATCGACAGAAATGGCAAATCAAAATCTGCTATGCAGTTTCTGTTGTTTCAGGTTTTGCTTCAAATTTGATGTGGCGCCCTCTATAGTTATGAATGGGAATGCAACAACATTTAACTTCAACAAAGTAAGATCCAACTGTTTTTGATGTGTGCATGTTATATAACATATCGGCCGCAACTGCAATGCTGACAAAAATTTGTGAAACTTGTATATCAACCAAAACAACATTTTTGCTTGAATCACTTCAGCAGAAGTGGGGAGTGTGGCCTAGTGGTTAGGGTTTGTGACTCCCTAGACCCCGATCAGAGGGTCAGGGGTTCGAATCCAGCTGCTGGTCATATGCTGTGTCCTTGGGCAAGCCACTTCACCCCAACTTGCCTCTCTCCACCCAGGAGTATGATAAATGGGTACCGGCATTAGCTGGGGTGTAACCTGCGATGGAATAGCATCCCATCCAGTGGGAATAGAAATATTCTCAGTCGTTTCATGCTACTGAAACCGGAGATAGACGCCGGCCTCGATGGGCCACATTGACTTGAGACAGACTTTACTTTTTTTTCCCTTTTTTTTTTTTTACTTTACTTCAGCAGATAAGACACTCTTGAGACAAAATAACTAAGTAAGAAACAAGCTCATTCCCGTCAACATCTTGAAAATTCATGATCCCTTCATACATATGCAATGTACATGGCCTAACAATCAGTTAAAACGCCAGCCAAGCATACTAAATTTGGCAATTGGGGCAACATCAAACTTAATTAGACCATCAAGTATTCTGGCATACTGATCCTACTATGCCCCCCCCCCCCTCCCCGGAATGGTCAATTATTACAGTGCAAACCAGACAGAACTCAATTCCGATTGTCAATTCTCTTTAGTAGATTTTTGTGTGGTTGGCTGCATGTAGTCAAGGCCTCAATTACAGCAAATTGGGGTATGGTTATTGGTGCAAATGCATGCATATTGCATGATGGATTTCTCTGGATGCTCAAGTTGACAGCATTCAAATTAGCATTGAAATAAAGTGCCACAGCGTTCTGCGTTTTTGGTAGGATTTTACAAAAAGGTCAACCAGTCATTTAAAAGCTTAGAACTGTGAGCCCCAGGCTTGGCTAGTAGTAACATGCGGCAACTGGGATTTAGAAGAAAAAAACCAGGAAATTTCAAACCACACAAGACTTTGTATAGTGTTTTTCAATTTGTAATGGCATACATGAGAAGTAAAAAATGAGGAAATCAGCGGATCCGAGCAAAAGTTGCATACTTGTAGTAATAAATTTTTCCAAAACTCTGTTTTTTCTTTAACATAATTCTCGAGCCAACGCGCCAGGATTTGTCAAATAGCGCCCTCTATTATGCATGAACGGAGATACTAGGCAGTCTCATCTGCCCCTGGTTACCGGTAGACAAATGTAATGCTTGCAATGTACAAGCCAGGAGCCATGGATCACAAAAAAAAATTGATTTTTCACCACTGTCTGACTGATTTTGCGGTTTTCTTTCAGCACAAGTATAAAGCAGTGCATTGTCCAGCTTTTTAAGCTATTTTGAACACCGCACAGTGGAGAATTTTTATCAAACTCAAAGTTCGGGCAAAGCAGTGGCAGTAAAGATATCAAATTTGGTGTACATCTAATGTCAATTTTTAAAAAACCCAACTATCTGAATCAATACGACATTGTCAAGAAAATACTCACGACATAATACATCTGCTTTGCTCTCTATGTACAATAGAAATATTAGACAGATTTCAGGCTAAATTTACAATCGAATTAATCAACACAAAATAGCTTTGTTCTGACCCATACGATCGGCTCAAATTTTCATGTTCAACAAACACTGAAGTCCATGATGTCAGATACAGTACAATACACTGATCCTCAAATACTAAACATGTACGGTTATTAATTAAAAAAAGAAAAGAATTTATACAATCAAAACAACAAACCAATATCCTATTATATGTAATGTACCTCCAGACTACTCCCCCCCCCCCCAACAGTCCTCGAAGTCCTGTGGAGCAATTCAGTAAAAAAAAATTTCGGCTTGTTTTGTTTCTCTGAAATTCATAGGTATAAACCTGCGATCACTGAATTGAAACTGTGATATTTCGTGGAGTCAGTTTGGCGTAGTAATTCTTTTCTCGCCTTCCGCCTCTGTGGCCCGGGTTCGATTCCTGCCCTGGTCCACATGTGGATTGGGTTTTCAGTCCCTGCCTGATTCTGTGGGTTTTTCCCCAGAATATTCTTCTGGGGTTTTCCTCCCACCTCTAAAAACTGTAATTTTTTTTCTCATTGTGTTCTCTCTACAGGTTTCATCAGACTTGCGAGCTACAGTGCTTAGGGCGCTTTTCAGGAATCCTTGATTTCGTGACCAGAAATAATAATTAATTATAAATTGAAAATGCCATCAGCTGGTTCACTGCTACAGGGCTGGTGCTGCATGGTTCGATTTTAAAACCAAAAATATAAATTATAATAATAATTCCATGAAATTTTGGTCAAAGATACTGTAGTGAATGGACAAATGTTTCTGATCATACAAAAATCATTGCTTCAACAGGTTTTTGAAGACTTTGTGAATTATTTTCCCGGGGTATCGTGACAGTTTATGGAACAACCAAGGCAAACCCTACACTTTCTGATTGATTTTCTGAAAACAAGCCTAACCATGCAAAATGCAACAGAATGCAACAGCAGTTGTTGTAAGTTGTTGCATTTAGCAGTCAACTCAAGTCCCCATGCTGCTGCATCTTTGTTGCATTTAGCAGGGTAACTGCTTGGTGCCAAGACTTTTATGCACTGGGTTCACTGCACAATGCAACATAATCCACTGTTGCAGTTTGTTGCAAATAGCAGGGTAACTGCTTGGTGCCAAGGCTGGTGTGCACTAGGTTCACTGCACAATGCAACATAATCCACTGTTGCAATTAATTTGTTGCATTTAGCAGGGTTCTCATTTGAGTTGAGTTGGATATTGTTGCATTTAACAGGGTACATGTAACTTCTTGGTGCCAAAGTTGGTGTGCACTGTGTTCACTGCACAATGCAACAGAATCCACTGTTGCAGTTTGTTGCATTTAGCAGGGTTCTCATTTGAGTTGGATATTGTTGCATTTAGCAGGGTATCTTAAGAATACCCGATGGGGGTTATAGGGTTTATTCGTATAAAAGTTCAGTGTGATACAGGACAAAACATAAAACATGCATTAAAAGTATAACATTTCTCGTGATTTTCTAAAATGTCTTACTACCCACTCATCGTCTATTCAAAGCTAAATCTTCCATTTCATCTGTTTCGTCTCTCCGTCAATAGTCAAGACGTCTCAAGTTACCCTAACTGCACAAACACTTTGCGGCACTCGCGACTCAGGGAAAAAGAAACGAGTGGGAAAAAGCTTTCACAAGCTGTAACACTCAATTTTGATGAATCAAATTGGACGCAAGGGTTAATGTTTTCATAAGTGGTGAAAAAAATACCTATCTTTATATATATTTATATTTTTTTATATCCCTACGAGGTGCAATCAATATGCTTTCGAACATCTTCACAAAGAGGAGAAAAATGTCTTCCCGGAAAAATCCCACTTGGGAAGTTTCCCCTGTTGAATACAAAATTGTGCCAAATTTTCAAAATATATGAATGATTGTTAAGTTTACACAAAGGCTTAATTTTGTGTATAGTCTGTTGAATATCCCCTTGCACAGCAAGGGTCTATGACTAATTGCAAGCAGATTAGGGGATTAATGATGCAAAACCACTGTTGTATTACAAAAACATGGTAGCCAAATTAACCAATCAACAGCTTAGTCCGCATTTCTGATCAAAACGACGTCACAATTTCTAAAGTCGACTTCGATTGGCTGGCGCGCGTGGTCACTCTGCACACATGAATGTTTGATACTCAGACTAAATTGTCCGGTCCCCCCTCCCCCCCCCAAAAAAATTCAAGACAACTGGCTTGTTTCTGTCTTTATTAGAGGCAAACATAAATAATGGGAAAATGTGATTTGATATTTTCTTACTTTTTGATGCCAACTAAAGTAAATGTGGCCATTTTGAGCGTTTAACAATAAAAATTATATTAAAAAGAAAAAAGTAATAATCCGTAGCCACTATTTCACTGAAGAGCCTCCACGTACGTACACATGTAGCTCATTCAATACCAAATTAGACACCTACATGTACAGTAGTCGAATTGAACCTTTAACAGAACTAATTTCCCACAAAATAATTTCCAATCTATCAAATCTGTAATTCCAAATTCCACATCTGCCAGTCTCCACATTATAGAATACAGACATGCTAGCAACTGAAAAGATGCCCGCCGACTCTTTTTTTCTTCTACTAACGGTAAAAAAAGTTCTTGAAAGAGGCAGCAGAGGTCAAATGGTGGGGGTCGGCGATGACATCATTCGAACGGCGTCCAATCACTGCCTTCCGACTCCTCTGCAGATGGGTCTGGCTCTAGACACAACGTTTGCACTCCTTCCTTGACTTGTGGAGTGCCCTGGTCCTTGCCTAAAGACGAGGGGAAAACGTTTAAAAATGAAAAAAACCCATTGAAACCCCCATGAAAACCCACATGTTCTTTACATTTCTAAGATAAAATACCACAATGGGCTTTTCTTCACTCAGTCTACATCTCACAGATAATCATTTGTGAAGGCCGGTTCCTTCTTCATGCATATGCGAATGCTAAGCAAATTTGACGTCATCAAACAGATGCTGCAAAACTTGCCAGAAGATAAAGCAAATTTGCTGCACGAATGCTGGCCGTGACGTCATGAATTCCCATTTGCGTTGGCTTTTGCACCGAGCATGAACCGGTCTTAACAGGTTCAGACAATTTATTTGAGCCTTGTTTAATGGCCTTTCACAAGACAATGTACCTTACGAGAAGCTCTAGCAATACTACTTCTGACTACGTTCATAACATTTGAATCATGCGAAAAAGTGCAATCTTGTTCCTCAGTGCATACATGTGCATGTACCTTCACTGGGGAAATATCAATATTTCTGAACTGATGAAACATGGATGAAGAATGTACAAACAGAAGCTTTGTGCAAACTTGATGCTTGATTTACTTCATGAGCTGTGTCAGACAGTGGCATTGAAAACACAGAACAAAAAACACATAGTTTGCCACACACGTACATGCTGTATGCAAATGAAGCAAAGACCTTTAATTAAACTAAGCAAAGAGAAATTTTGCTCTCACTGCATCCCCAAAAAAGCATGCGTTCATGGAACAAATGCAAGTGGTGATGTACATGGACATACAGTACAAAAACACTCTGCAACAAAGAACATTTACATAGGCCTATGTATAGCAAAAGCGGCCATCTTGGTCTGATTCCCTGACCCAGTCAATGCAAAACACAGCATTACCAATTTACGAAGAAGGTACCAGCCTTAGAAAGAGACCGGAGTGTTCTCAGGTCAGACACTGAACTTGGAACAGGACATGTTTTTGTGCGACACTCCAAACAATTCCCAATTGAGAAGAAGTTCCCAACTTAGAACAAACACTTCACAACCACCGCAACAGCAGCAAAAAGCGAGCTTCAATTTTGCATATTTTTACAAGAAAAGGAAAAAAAAAAAATCATAAGGCGGACAAATATTCAATCTTGAAAAAAAAAAAACTAGAGAGTAACTCTCGAAGGTATGCAGAAGAAAGATCCTGCACATTTGTGCTTTTGGTCCTCTTTTAAGGTCAGTTATACATTATTTCAAACGCTAGGGCTACTTATTTGTCTCTTGACCGGTCTTGCATCCAAGCACTTTAACGCAGGCCTCGCGGTGAGCTTACTGCCCCCCTGATGCGCACTCAATTATTCAGGCCCGCGGCACACTCCACGGTCTCTCTGGAAATGGATAGGCTACTTCCATTAATCTTCAAGTAATCCCCCCTCTCTCTCGCGCTTGCCCAGCGATCGGCGCCGGACGCCGGCACTTTCAAGCTCACATAAGACTGTCAGTTTCTGTACGCTATCCCCTGTTTACGCGTCAAGTGGCCGGAGTCCGTTATCATGTATATTTATGTGCAAATCACGGTGGGTGAAATAACATACTGGGGCCCTTCTTATATATCAAAGTTCCATCTGCCTTGAATCCCGAGTGAATTTCATCAATTTTGTTTTTGGCCACTTCCTTTGGGGGGGGGGGGGGGGGGGCAAAAAAGTCTGATTTCTCAACTGAGTTGTTTGCCATTAAACTGCCCGTATCTATTTTTTTTTTCACAATATGTTTTGCAACACTGCAAAATGGGGAACAAGATGAAATAAATAAAAAAAATTTAAAAAATAATTAAAAAAAATTGAATAAATAAAAAGAAGAAAGAAAATAAATCAATCAATAAATTAAAACAAAAAACCTCCCAAAAACATTCAACTTGAGCCGATCCTTAAAATAATTATTGTCATGGACGAAATTTGTTTTGAACAACCAAGGAAAAAAAATCATAAAATTGTTTGCATGCTAAGATTTTCTGCTATGCTAAACTGTGCACAAGATCAATTCTGCTCCTCAATCAAGTACCGGTTCATCTACCGCGAAAAAAAAAAATTGTAAGAGTGTTTTTCAGCTTCAATTGGAGAAAAAACAAAAATTAATCTTGGAGGCTGTACACACGACAGATGTTTGCGGGAGAGAAAAACAAGTGAATCCGGGGAATTGAAGGCAATCTGAGCCAACTTGATTTGCACTCCCGGCAAAAAGGTGAAGATCCCCCCCCCCCCCAAGCTAGCCACGTACAGTCTGCGAGGGATAAACACTAAGCAAGCGCTGTTTTATCGGGTTGTTTTCGTGCCCTTTTTGTTTCTCGTTTTGTTCTCTTCTTTATCCACTGGATCCCCTATTCAGGTCAGTTGCCCGGACTAGGCACTAGCTGGCTGGCTGACTGTAAATAATTGAGATTGGAAGGGGGGGGGGAGGAGGAGAGAGAGACAGGCACAGACTGTCCAGAGGTAATTCTGAATAAACAAAAAATAGAATTGGCAAAACAAGGACATCTTGTGGGAAAAAGCAAACTTGTCGCTGAGAGAAGGATTTGTTGTAAGCATCAGGATATTTTGAGACGAGAATCACTTTGCATTTTGACCAAAAAAAAAGCCTCTTTCAAATGCAATGTTCTCAACCTGGGCACGCCAAAATGTCCTGTACGCCACAAGTAATTAATGATTTCAATAACAGTTACAAAAACAAGCTAGCACGTGAAGCAGTAATGAATTCACAGCTCTCCCCAGTGATTACGACCCAAAGTCCTGTCACTGATTGCCCGTTTCTGATGTGCTTGGAGAAATCAGAGAATCTATTTCACGACTCGCCAAACACTGACACACAGAGCCAAATTAAAAGTAGAGTCCATCATTTGTAATTTGTGCATTATGTTCGTTTGAAGCAACCAAAGTGCTCCAAATCTAAAGAAGGGCGCTTAACAACTATACCTGATGAAGCTTTACCTCAGTGAATGCGGAATATTCCGAGAAAACAATATTCTAGGATCTCGATTTCAATAGAAAAGTTGCGGGTCAAGTTTTAAATTTCACCCGAATTCAGCGTCTGGGACACGTTCTCATTCAGTCGATTGTAGCTACGCAATGTCGCGCACTGAACCGACGAATTATAGCGACCGCGTACGCGTCGTGCCAATGCTTGCGTGCTTCGCCGAATTAAAAATGCACTATTAACAGAAATTTTCAAAAATGCACTATTAACAGAAATTTTCAAAAATGCATCTTTAGACCCATTGTTGGAAATCGCCTTCTTTCATTGTATTCTTCAAAAAGAAAGCTTGCCAGAAAGAATAATTTCACAGGGAATTTAGTCCCATTTTTTAATTATCTTTAAACCAAGTATGCTTTTCAACAACAATTTTGTCAGTTACTTTTTGGATAGATGCAAATGATGGACTGTGCCAAACTAAATGAGTGGTATGCATAAAATGAAAGCTATTCTTGCTATCAGAATGTCAAAAAGTACAGTGCATGTGTTCCAACTAAATGTGCATGCACTTCGAAGGAATGCGTGTGCTGTGGATAATGACAGTGCAATTGTACTTCTGCGTAACAAGATACACATAATACATAGGAAAACAAACTGTAGTATTATCTCAACATAGCTGAGAAACATGATGCATGAATGCTCCGAGATGAGTTGTCATAAACATCAAAACTACATTCTTGAAGTGAGTCTAGAAACTACATGTAAGCCACTCCCTACATATCCCAGGGTTTCATTTTTGGAACATTCTGCACGCAGGAATCTTCAACAACAACAAAAATTAGCCTCCAACCGACCACACTCAATCAACACCTGTGATCCAATCAGTTATAAAAAAAATCACAAAACTAGGGTAGTCAAACAACGACCAAACAAAACAAGCATCAACATTTAAACAACATATATTAACACTATTATCCCCCCCCCCCCAAAAAAAAAAATTATAATAGTATTTTTTGTTTTTATTTAAAAAAAAAAATTATTAAAAAAAAAAGTATTAAATAATTTTTTTTTTAATATTTTTTTTTTTTTTTTAATAAAAAAACCAAAAAAAACTACACATAATTTGCTGCAGGTGCTTAACTGAACACATCCTGCTTTCTCAATATTTTCAGACTCAAAAATGTACTATACTGCCACCTGACCATAAGTTTGATTTTCCTCTTGCTTGCCTCCCCCCCCCCCCCCCCCCCTATTAAAAGTAATCAGATTTTACCGAAGCTGACAGGTTGTAAGGCTCGGGGGGGTTTCAGTGATCTGTGTAGCAAAGCAACACTAGACTATAAACGATACTGATGAGTACAATTACGTGCGCAAATGCTTGCAAGGACCTGCTTTTGGAGCATGCGTGGGAGTCTTGCTGCTTACATGTATGTACCGGGTACGTACATGTACATTGTACAACAGCTTGATGACATTTCGCAAATGATAATTAACTACTGGTACAATTAATGCACACGTTTTTTGTTGTTTTCTTCTACATGTAATGTTAATCATTACCAGAATGTTTGAGAGATCCCACACCAAATCCTTTGTCCCCATTTAGATCTGCAACATGTGCTAACAAAACTCTTGGCAAACTTTCACAGAACCCATTGCTGGACACTGGAATTTCCACGCAGAAGCTGGAAGCGCGCACTCGCATCAACCATTTGTAGCACCAGGCGACGTCCTTGCGCAGCAATAAATGTCTGATGTGCCAGCCGTACGGTGATTTAGAAACCCTTTTTTTTTTAAATGGCTTGGTTGGCAGGTTGCGAAGAAGCGCTCAGGACAGTGGCAGCTTAAATTCAAGGTCTGTTATAGCCTACTGTACACAAACAGTTGCAACGACTGAATAAAAGACAGCGAATTTAAAAAATAGAAAAAAAGTAGCAAGAGTCAGAATAAGAAACAGTACAAAGATAAAAACACACCACAACTACCCTCAGTAGCACCAAAAACTCTGTTAATATTCACGCTCAGCCACATTTATAAAACTGCATAGTGACCAAAAGCAGCAGCCCCCTCAAAAAAACATGCCTCACACACACAAACTAAATGTATAATGTCTATTTTGTACAATGTACATGCTTTCTTTAAGTCTAGCATAGCATTTGTAAGCACGCTACAGGGCAAAAACTTGAACAGACAGCAAGCTAATGCAGCCAATGGAAGATACACTGGCTCTGGTGATTGTCTCCTGTAATCACACACAGAAGCACCAAAAAGATGCGGACAAACACTTGAACAGCAGCACTACTATTATCAAATGAAAAATTCAGCTGATGCTTTCTCAGCTTTCGCCCCCTCACTAACAACCGACTGCGCTGATGATTGGCAATCGCATGGACAAGGGGAAAAAACAGCTAGCCAATTTTGACAGAATGCAGCGGCTTTAACATGACTTTAAAAAAATAGAAAAAAAAAGGTGGAGGAAGAGTGGACAGGCCAGGCAGACAACTCCAATGAAAACAATTATGGCAAATGTGTGTGACACACTCGATCAAGCCGAGCAAATGCGCAGTGGCAGTCGGAATTGCCTCAATTTTTTTTTTCTTCCTTAATTTCTACGTCAGAATCCATTGCACTTAAAAAAAAATTTGTATGAATAGAAAGCACATGGAATAGGCTTCAGTTCAAAAATAGAAACTCACGCCAGTATACATACCGGTATTCCTTGCAGTGGAGTTATTTGCATATCGATACATTTAGAGGAAATTTACGACTGTTTTTTTTACCATGTGTGTGTGAGTTTGTTTCTGCATTCAATAGGTCCGGGACGTTGAACAATAGAGGACAATAGGGTCCCCAATTCCAGAGAGGTCCCCAATTTGGATTCGTGTACAAAACATATGGGAGGTCTTCCTCGTCCTAAAAAGTAAGTACAAACAAAAGAGGGACAATAGGGGGTCCCCGATTGCAGGTAAATACACACTTGTGTGTGCATCAGTTTTAAATAATTGTGCTTATTATTTTCTACAGTATCACATGAAAACTAAAAAGTCACTAGTTTAATTTTTCAATTTCATTTTGGCCAGCTGAATGAAGTAAAGTGTGCAAAAAACCAAGTTAAATACTTATTACATATTTAACATGTGATTATTACCATTTTTTTTAATTAAATTTTTTGAACTTTGTTTTTAAAGGTTTTTTTCAGAAGTGCAAAAGTACATTCATGTAGGTTTCTTTTCACAAAGTGGTACCAGTGAACCTTTAGAAACCAGTGAACAGCTGTTAAAAACATTACTGCGTTAAAAAAAAAAAACACCCACAAAATTAATTTTGCGATACATGTACAACATACAGAGCGCATACATGCGACAAATATTTTGCACCGACTTGACCGAGAGTGTCACACTTAAAAACGACACGTGCACACCTACCTGGGTCTAAAAAGGTCAAAGATAGAAATCGAAGAACGGCTCAGACACCATCCTGGGAAACTCCGAGACACACACACACACGCACAGGGGAAATAAAAAGCCCACAACAATAGGAAGAGATTCAGCAAAGGTTCCTTGAAACAAACTGAAGGGTTTTAGTCAAAAATTGTGGCTCTGTTGTTGATGTTGCATGTATGTATACTGTATTAAAAATATCTGAGCTTTCAATACAAAATGAAAAGACAATGTACAAGCGAGGAATGACTTACATGTACTCAATTTGGCTGAAGGAGGGGGTGGGGTGAGGGGGTGGGGGTGAGGTAAGGTGGGGGAAGGAGGGTAGGCGGGGAGGAGTATGGGTGCTGAAGGTACATGTAGGAAGTGCATTCATGGTAAATTACGGTACATGCACATGTAGTGAATAAAAGACAAGGATTACTGGTAGAGGGTAGAACTCATTGCAACATCTCTCAATTTTTGTTAACGATATTAAATTTTGGCAACAAACACTATAATGGGTCATTCTGGTCTCAACTACAGTGCTACCGTAGCCTTGACCCAAGACGCTAGTGATCAATAGTGGATCGTACAATAGTGCGCCCTCTAATGGCACAAAAATTAGACCAGCGCGCCTACTCGCACTAAAGTCTTGGGTAATTCGTAGTAGCGGTTTAACTTGTTCTTTATTTTCTCCCTCTAGAGGCTTTTCTAGGGGACCTGCGATTGAGAAATGGTTTATAATCAGTTGCGTGCTCGCGCGACGGTTGTAAACATACGCGCTACTGCGGTCATCAAGCATTGCTAATTATGCAACGAAGTGATACCCCTGCGTCAGTGCACAACGGTATCAAATGGGAACTGCTGTTTGATCAAATTGATTATTTTCACCCACGGTCTAATTTACATAAAATGACCATGCTCCCATTGCTACGAATTGCCCAAGACGTTAGTGCGAGAAAGTTAAAAAAACAAAACCAACAATTATGCAAGAGCGCTCTACAACAAAGCAATTATCGCCATTGATCACTGACGTCTTAGGCCGAGACTACTACAGTACCTGCTACAGAGTTCTGTTTTTGAGGAACGAATATGAGAGAAAACAGGAGGTACATGTAAAACAACCGTCTTCGGCATTATGATTGGCAGAGATACCACATACAGTTCACAATTAACAGGGGGTGAATGACGACAAAGAAACACCTTTGCCACGGTTGATTTGAATAGGGCTCGCTCAATGACTGGTGATGCTGGCCACAGGTTTTTTTCAGGATCCTGTCGGGCCTTGCATATTGCAACTAAATGAAGAAGGCCTGACTCGTGCATCAACACTCTGCACAGATCATCCGCCTACGAGACACTCATTCTATTACCGACCCTGACATCAAGATCTAAAGATGGCGAAGCAGCACGCTCCCACTACCTACTCTCTCACCCTGGTACTAGATTATTTGCATTAAAAAATTGTGCACGTTATAATTAGGTACAGAATAGTCTGGTGCCTGACCATGCTTTAAATCAGTCTTTGTCTTTGTATTGGGTGTCCGGGGTAACAGACGGAATCAATTCGTTGTGGAAAACACAACTTTAGTTTTCTTCAAAGTTTTAATGATGATAAATCATACCAATCCAACATGCAGTATTACACACTGAATATGATAATAATTATGGGGGAAAAGGAGGATTGTTTATCAGGAGGATTGGATGTATGTAAAAAATTCACATTGAACATTACTAATACACAGAAATGAATGAAATCCCCAAGTACACGATATAAATCCGTTACCTATTATTGCGGTTTTGAATTTCCCTACCGGGGTCTACAAATTGTCGCGAGGTTGAGAGCAGACCCTATGGGAACAAGGTTGGGTCCCCAGTCCACTTGGATGGGATGGGGGGGGGGGGGGGGGCAGGGGAGACGAACGACCCTAACAGCGAGCATGGACATTGTACTCATAATCATATCGTTCATGTTTTCTAAATCGCCAGCTGTTGGGTTTTTTTTCTTGCGGGAGGGGTATTTTTTTCCCCAGGCCATATCGATCAATGACAAAAGTACCCCTCCCCCGGCAAACGGCAAAATTTTCCAATTTATTCGGCCGTGGGGAGATTTCCTGTACAATATTTCTCTTTAGCAGGTGGATTTTGAAGTAGTTATGGATTGTATGAAAGCGAGAGATCAATTCATTCATGTAAATGTATGCTCGCTTGATTGAACCGGTATAGGACTTTTTACTGGAATGAAAACGAAGATTCAGGGATTTAAAGGGATGTTAAAATGTCGTTGTTGGACAGCATATGAAACTACTTTTTACAAAAATAAGAGTTAATTATGAATTGTCATGTTAAAGGGGCATTCCGGCCTGAAATCCCCGAAAATGTTACGTTTTGGATTGTTTATATCCAAGTATCATTTTCCTTCTAACAAATGTCCCCATCCATACATATCAATGGTTTAGGTCCCTGAATATTGGGCGTATGAAGTTGCGCTTTTTGGTGTTTTTTTTACCACCCTGCATACATTATTCCTGTGCAATTTATTATAGGCTGTATCACTAAATCTGATGGTGCAACTTCAGACTGGCATTGTGCTGGAGGGCCACATATATTCGTACTTCACAGACTTTACGTTGTTGACAGACAATTTTTTTTTCCATCGCCTTTTAATGTTACAAACCCAGAGCACACAATTCAGAACACATCTTCAGAACACATCCCCTCTGAAGTGACTTCGGCTGGCACACAGATAACATCTAAAATGACGTGCCCATGTAAATATGTGGAGTACAGTCACCCCAATACAACTTCACAGGCCAATTCTTTATGAAGGGAATACACCAAAAACAAAAAACAAAGCTGAAAATACTCAAGAGTTTAAAAATAACCGACAGCTCTGCAAATGTCAAACTTATACCGGTACATGTATGATAGTGGCAGTCATGAAAGAATCCGTACAAAAAAAAAAAATGCTCTGAATTTAAAGCTTAAAATCGATGCCGGCGGCGGTACTGTAATCTTCCTGTAAATGTCAAGCAACAAAGGACTATCTGGCGGTAATTAACGACTGTCAGACTTGTCAGTCACACTTTTTACTTTTTGCCCCCCGTGGCTCATAGAAGATAGGGGTTGTATCAGCATACAGGGATTGCTTTCCCTTAGATTTTCCGGATGGCTACTGGCCGGCTTGCAATAAATACAAGAAGTGCTGGGGGATGATTTTAACATTGCCAGTCTAGATTGGTTCGGACGCTAATGGCGGCGGCGTCAAATTCCAGTAGCCTGTGGATTTGACAAGCGTCGTAGAATTGAAAGCGACAATCCATGTCTTACGGATAAACACGCAAAAAAGACGAAAACATGTTCAAGTTTTAAACATCCTACAGCATACAGGTACATCAACATATAGTTTCTGTTGGACAAACTTTTTTCAAAAAATTGTCTGGCAAAGTGGAACTATCAAATATCTTTATAAATAGCAACATATTGCTGCCAAAGTTTTTGTCTGATAATATCGCATCTGACGTTTTTAGTAAATTCAGTTGTATGCATTTCAATTTCTACGAACAAAATTTTCAATTTGTATATTTTATTAAAATTAAACAAATGCCCTTTCTTCCCCATTTATTTTAGACATTTTCAAACCTTTGAACATTCACTTTTATAGGGGGTTACTTTGTGTCGTTCAAAAAAGTTGCGTTTCGTTGCTAGAAAAAAAAAAGAGCAATTAATTTTCTTTAAAAAAAAATCAATTTTTCAGGGTGAATCTCGAAAAAATAGCAGGGGAGAACAACTTTAAAGGAATATATGTCAAAAATCCAGTTGATGCATGTACCGTACCATGTCAGACATGATCAACTTCTATCTAGGTTTCAATATGGTTCACCTTGCAGTCCTGATTCTGATTACGGTACCATCTGTCATTCACATTATTAGTAGACAGAGACTGGAAATGGATGCCACTTTTAATTTTTATATAGATCTCTGCTGCATAATGTGCATAGACGTGATTACCGTACATCATGTGTGAATCTGTGAGTCTGAGCAAACACATTTTGTACACTCTTGGGACGATGGCACACCTAACATGCCTACCGTAAGCTACCAGTATTGCAGTAATTTTAACCCTCCTAAGGCAACATACATTGACCTTTCAGTCAAAAGCACTCATTAAAGCTATAGTCCATCATTTGCAGCCATCCGAAAAAGTAACTGGCCTATTATTGTTGAAAAACACACTTGGTTGAAAGATAGTAAGTGGACTAAACTCCCTGTGAAATTAATCTTTCTGGCAAGCTATCATTTAGAAGTAAACAACGAAAGAAGGCCTTTCCAACGGTGCGTCTTAAGACGCACCGTAGGAAAATTTAAATTAGTTGTTCGTTTTGTTATTCGGCGCAGTGCGCGCAAGCATTGGCACGACGCACAGTTGCTATAATTTGTCGGATCAGTGCGCGGCATCGCGTATAGCTGCAATTCAAAACATGATTCAGCAACTTTTGATTTGAAATTGAGATCCTAGAATGCTGTTTTTCTCGGAATATACAGCTGAAGCTGAGCTGAAAGTTCATCAGGTTAGTTGTTCGGTATCCTTCATTAGATTTTGAGCACTTTTGTTGCTTCAAACGAACAAAATGCACAAATTACAAATGATGGACTATATCTTTAAAGTGACTGTTTTCAACAGTTAATAATTCCCAGCATGTACCCGGTACATACAAAGCAGGATGACTGGCTGTGACTGTTTATGTATCTTGATACAGCTGTGCTTTGACTGTGGGTGATTGATAAGCCAGCTGTGCCTACAACTATCCTGCTTTGTCTGTTCATGATCTGTTGACTGAGTTTGACTAGTCACAGTGCTTGCTTGACATATTATCTGACTGCTGGTGACTAGCCTGTGTTAAAAGTATAGCAGAGGAAGTGGATGGAAATTTTGACTCTCTGTGACTGTTTAAATAGTAGGAGGGTTAACAATCATTTCATCAATCCTGATGTATGTAGATATCACT